GTCATGGTCTGGGGCTGCATGAGTGCTGTAGGCACTGGGGAGCTACAGTTCATTGGGGGAACCATGAATGCCAACATGTACTGTGACATACTGAAGGAAAGTGTGATCCAATTCCTGTCGGAGGTTGGGCCACAGGGCAGCATTCCAACATGATAACAACCCCAAACACGCCTCCAAAATGACCACTGCTAAAGAAGCTGAGGGTAAAGGCCAAGCATATCTCCAGACCTGAACCCTATTGAACATACTAAAATATTTATGAAATGTGAGGAGGTGTACTCACTTCTGTGATATACTGTATATTTATATGTTGATTTGGGAATGGCAAATCCCAAAGCCCTTCAAAGGGAATGGCAGTAATATGTGGTCAATTATTAACTTCGAACCTATGTTGCTGCTTATTTATTAACATATTTTTGTTGCTTCTTATATCCAAAGATCTCAGATTATGCTCAGTTCACAGTCTTATCTCCTTTGTATGACATTTATGCCCTAAGAGGTGGATCTAAATCCGTGCATGCATGTTTTTTGTGTGTGTGTTTCCCTAAAAATTGTTGTTATTGTTGTTTAGTTGTTAAGTTGTGTCTGCCTCTTCGTGACTTCATGGACGAGAGCACACCAGGCCCTCCTGTCTTCCATTGCCTCCCGGAGTTTGGTCAAATTCATGTTGGTTGCTTCGATGACACTGTCCAACCATCTCATCCTCTTTCGTCCCCTTCTCCTCTTGCCTTCACACTTTCTCAACATCATTGTATTTTTCAGGGAGATTTCTCTTCTCAGCTTCTCAGCTTCAGGATGTGTCCTTCCAGTGAGCACTAAGGGTCGATTTCCTTCAGAATGGATAGGTTTGTTCTCTGTGCAGGCCAAGGGACTCTCAAGAGTCTCCTCCAGCACCACAGTTCAAAAGCATCAATTCTTTGGAAGTCAGCCTTCGTTATGGTCCAGCTCTCACTTCCATACATCACTACTGGCAAAACCAGAGCTTTGACTATGCGGACCTCTGTCAGTAAGGTGATGTCTCTGCTTTTAAAGATACTGTTTAGGTTTATCATCGCTTTTCTCCCAAGAAGCAGGTGTCTTTTAATTTTGTGGCTGCTGTCACCATCTGCAGTGCATCCCTAAAAATACCAGTTGTTAAATGCAAAAATAGGTGGCGCCTTTATAGACCACTAAAAATCACCATACAGTACATGAGTTTTCATGGATTAAAACATCACTTCCACAAAAGCTAATGTATTTTATGATGAGTTTTAGTGGTCTATAAAGGTATTGCTTTTTTTGTTTTTGCATTTGTATTTTATTTTGTTCTGAATACATTGCTATCTTTTTTTCAATGATTGTGTAAATAGAAATGTAGAAAGTCTGAGCACTAAAATGCACGGTCCCAATCCTCTACGTGCTTCCCCTGGAACTTGTTATGTATTTTTTATGCAAATATGTTCTTCTGACTGGGGTTCTGGGGTTCTATGGAAACATGGTGTAGTTCTTTGGATTAAAAACAGATTTGCTATTTTTTTTCTGATGGTGCTTGGAATAGTTCACTTCAGAGCACCAGAACTCAATGTTACAAAGTTCAAAATATCAAAATGAGTGAGCTTCTGTGACACTTAAAAGATTTCTGGAACACTGCTAATATTGTGCTATTGGAAGTTGTGCAACACAGATAAATTTTTTAAAAACAGCACCTTGACATTGTCAAAATTCGTTTGCAGTGGTTGAAGCAATACAGAAGACTTTGTTTGAGACAGTTGTGTACCAAGAGCATGATCCTGAGGAAATGAGCTGACCTTTGATGCACACTGCAGTCCATAAGTGCTGTGAATGCTTAACACTTCTCAGACTAAGATACTTAAATAACAAAAGATACAAAAGTGACTTTGTTAAAGTTACTAATAAGAAAATCTGATTTTTATCGAAAGTTAAATGTGCATGGTGAATAATGTCAGCAACTTCGTGTTGCTTTGTTTTGATAGGGTCTTCCTGATGAGCAGAAGGAAAAGAAAGAATTTCAAAAGAGAGAATATTGGATGTTTAATAATTTAACTGCAGCTTTTGCCTGAATTCTTTTGTATGAGGGCAAGGATTAATACAGTGGTGCCTCCTTGACGACGATAATCCGTTCCAGCAAAATCGCTGTAGAACGAAATCGTTGTCAAGTGGGGAAAAAACCCATTGAAACGCATTAAAAACCGGTTAATGCATTCCAATGGGTGAAATACCTCATCGTCCAGCGAAGATCCTCCATAGGGTGACCATTTTCCGGTGCCCGTTAAGTGAAAAATCAGTCCTGAAAACAGCGGGGAGCTATTTTGCACAGCGGGCAGCCATTTTGAAACCCAACGATCAGCTGTTTTTAGATCGTCGTAAAGTGAAAAATCAGTACCCGTAGCAGGGAACCGATCGTTGTCAAGTGGTTTTTTCCTATGTAAACATAGTTTTACGATCGCAAAAGCATCGTCGTGAAGCGGATTCATTGTGGAGTGGGGTAATCGTTAAGCGGGGCACCACTGTACTAAGGGTTTGCTCTATAAGCTTACCAGTGAACATAATACAACTGTACAGTTGTTAACCTGTTAATGGTATTAAAATGTAAATCTCATTTTGCATTAAATATCCACAATGTTAATAGTTAAAACACAGCAATTCATTGGGCTGATGTGCATCCAAAAATCTAAGCAGGGACTTATTAATTAACATTGGGAAGCCATTGTAAGTAATACCATTTACCTTTCACATATACAACTGAACAACAGGATTTTGGCCAATATGTTCCACAAAAATAATTTTCAGCCATTTTAGACAAGGACCCATATTTGACCTCAATCTGCAATAGGTATTTACAGCAGAATCCCTCAGTCACTATTGGCACTTGGCATGGAGATTCTGGGAGCTGTAGACAGAAAAATAATATTTTCAAATTCTCAACATAGAACCATTTTTAATTGCTTGCTATGTATAAATGGCTTTTTGCTTCTTTTTCTTCACTTTCTCCTTATCTCTTTCTGTACTCTTCTCCAGGTTTTCCTGCTTCCTCTTCTCTTTTTGTAAAAAAAAAAAAGGTCAAAGTGGTGGGTGTGCTCTTCATACAATCCACATTGCTGACTTTGAGATTCTGACCCAGCAGGAAGCAGGTTGTACTAAGCTTCCTTGCCTGGTCATTTGGAAGTGATATGTATCTTCCGTAAGTGATTAGGCAAGTATCTATTTACAAAATTAGTTTTGTAAACAACAATACAGTATTACTTTATTTACTAACACAGCATAGTTACAGAATGCACTGTATATCAGCATATAGTGACTGCATCTGGATTTGTGACCAATCCTTTGATATTGTTTGGATATTTTGAAGCATTGCCTAACTTATGGCAAGAAAGTGAGGGCCACCATGTGTGAAGCAAAGATAATTCAGAATGCATACATTGGAGATCATAATCCAATAGGCACAAAATTTGATTGAGAACCCATTAAGTGTTATTTCCTGAAAGTTTGATGGCTTCCCCAATATTGCCATAAGTTTCTCCCCCTGCCCCAAAGAAATATACTGCATTTATCAGATAACTTTGGGATTTTAAAGCATAATTCTGGTCTGAAAAGTGATTATGTGAAAATGGACTTTACCTTCTTATGGAAATATTGCAGCTGTGTTTGTGCATCCATTGTCAAAATCACTTCCTTGAGAAATAAAACTAATGTGCTTAGAGCACATCTGATGGATGGCACTACATCAGAAGCGTCATCCTGTGTGGAACATGCTGCTTCAATGACACATATCTCCCTCTCTTATTGATTTTATATGCTTGCTGCAGGTAGAAGAGAGCAATCTGGCCCCACCCTCCCCCTGTTTTCAGTTTTGTTGCCCTACTACCCATGGAGAGTGTGGCAAGTCTGAAGCAGAGATCCTCAGCTGTCCATGGGCAGTCTTCATATGAGCTGAGATTCTGATTTTCTAGCATTTATTTTTTTATTTAAAATATTTTTATCCCACCTTTCTCCTTAAAAAGGGCCCAGAGCAGCTTGCATCATTAAAAAGGTGGACATGGAGTCAGAATAAAGCTTACCCACTAACAGGAGGAAAAGAAGTAGAAACTACTTGTATCCTTTCTTAAGATAAATTAGGGTTTATGTTGGGCATAAGATTTCTTTTCATTACACTACCAGAATTGCCCCAGAACAATTCAGCACTTGTAGCCAAAAAATCCAAATTTTCATTATAGTTTCTGTACACAGCCTGAGGCCCAGTATGTTCTTCTCTGCAGCCACTGCAACGAGCGAGCGTAGGTGGAACTTGCAAAGCTCCATGGCAAATATAAGGGTTTGTGGGACTGCTTGTGTGACTGGGTTCTTTTGAAAGTTATGGCAGTTCCTCTGTTTTTGCGGGAAGAAGGGATGGAGACTTTTTAAAATTATTCTAAATCTCAACTTTATTAATTTGTGGAGTTTCAACCGTAACACCAACAGGGTCAAAACATGACAGATCTGGCATCTGTCCATAACTTGACAATATTGATTGTGGGGATGATTCACTGCAGGGCTGGACCAAACCACTCTCGATCCGTAATCTTGCGTAGGGGAGCACTCTGCATCGCGCAAACCGTTCCACAACATGGGGGACGTGCCCAATCGCCTTCCTTCGGTGAGGTATTGTAGGTTGAATCTGGGCGTATCACTTTCCTCCCACAACCTTGTCCCCGTGGAAAGACAATGACTGTCCATTCTTGTGTTTCGAAGATAGTCTCTCCTTCTCTTTTTGTCTTTGGGTCAGGCAGTAAGCCTCCGACTCTTAGATTTGGAAAGTCCTTCAAAAGATCCTGCGCTTTCTCATATTCTAAGTCGTTCTTTTCCTTCTCCTTTGTGGGACTGCTTGTGTGATTGGGTTCTTTTGAAAGTTGTGGCAGTTCCTCTGTTTTTGCAGGAAGAAGGGATGGAGACTTTTTAAAATTATTCTAAATCTCAACTTTATTAATTTGTGGAGTTTCAACCGTAACACCAACAGGGTCAAAACATGACAGATCTGGCATCTGTCCATAACTTGACAAAATTGATTGTGGGGATGATTCACTGCAGGGCTGGACCAAACCACTCTCGATCCGTAATCTTGCGTAGGGGAGCACTCTGCATCGCGCAAACCGTTCCACAACATGGGGGACGTGCCCAATCGCCTTCCTTCGGTGAGGTATTGTAGGTTGAATCTGGGCGTATCACTTTCCTCCCACAACCTTGTCCCCGTGGAAAGACAATGACTGTCCATTCTTGTGTTTCGAAGATAGTCTCTCCTTCTCTTTTTGTCTTTGGGTCAGGCAGTAAGCCTCCGACTCTTAGATTTGGAAAGTCCTTCAAAAGATCCTGCGCTTTCTCATATTCTAAGTCGTTCTTTTCCTTCTCCACTTCAGCTTTATTCTCCTTTCCCTCCTTTTCCAGTCTACTCTCAAACTTCCTTTCTCCCCCTTCTTTTATATCCTCCTCCCACATAGAGAATTTCAGCTCCTTCCCTTTGCTTCCTTGTCCTTCCTCTATCAAGCAAACCTCTACATTTCTTTTCTCCTCTACTAAATTTCTTTCCATCTGTCCTATATCACCCTTACTGACTCTTTCCTCTTTTGATGGTACTATCGGTTAGGATGGCTCACTGGCCTCTTGCTTTCCATCACAGCTAGTCTCTCTGCTCATTAGGCTCTTTACATGGCAGCTCTGAAACAATAACAAATCCTACAATACCTTGTAGTTCCCATTGAGCTTAGTTATTCTCACTCACTCTCTTCCTTTGCAGTGGCTGCAGAGAAGAACATGCTGGGTCTCCAGTGTGCATTCCTGAAACTCCTCTGAGGACTTGGATTTTCTGGCTGCATGAACCAGAATTCTAGCTGGGGGAATTCCTGATGAATTAGGATAACTGTAGTGAAAAAAATTCAAACCTTTCATGCCTGGTCAATGCATAGAGTGGTAAAATATACCAGATGGGCGGGATATAAATCGAACAAATAAAATAATAAATAAATAAAATAAATAGTCCATATGATTAGCTTAGCACATATTTAGAAGACATGATACCCCAAGCAGTAAAAATGCCTGTCACGAGGCATACTTTTCTCAACTAAATTTCCTGCATTTAGCTTACGTTGCTTTGTGATTGGTCATCAGAAGATAAATGTGGGCTTTGTTTGCAAGTTTGATGACCAAGGTATGTATTTCTGGCCAAGTGCAATTATTGCAGGGGAAACAGTTTAACTGGAGAAAGATAAGCTCCAGTGTAATGGCTTGTTTGACTTGCAAATTACAATAGTGTTTTCTTTTCAATGACCAGGCAAAAACAAAGTAAACAAAATTGAGGATATGGAGGTGAGGAAAAGCATGTGCTAAATGCGGAAGCTTCAAATGGTTCAGAATGCAGAGTCAGAATGCTGAGAAAACATCAGCATATATCCCCAACTCTGGCTGCCCTGCATTGGCTGCCCGTTTGTTTCCGCATTGATTTCAAAGTGTTAATGATGACATATAAAGCCCTAAAAGAGAATACGACTGTAAAGACTGGACTTATTTTACCAGCAAATCTGGAATTTTTCAGTATACAGTATATGTTTCAAGAAATGGTCAAGTACAAATGAATACTTAATTTTAAATCTCAGGGTTAATTTTCTATTTAATAAACATTTAAGAAATAATATATAAAGCTATTTATGAAAGTAAGTAGGATGCGCTTGGTACATTCATCTTTATTTGCTAAGGGGATCTCCTTGGCTAAAGGCTTTTTCACACGTTTTCCTCTTTCCAGTACATCACTTTGGGTCTTGTCAAAGTTTAACTCTTGCATTTTATCACTTTTGAAATTGTTTTCATATTCATATCTTATTTTTCATTTCACTTTTAATTAGTTTCATTATATTTGATGGCAAAATGTTTAGTTTATCTCCACTGTTAATAGCGTAATTGTTTCTCTTGCCTTAAGTAATATCTCGTTAACTTTATAAGCCATCTTTTCCACATTATGTACAGAATTAATTTCCTGTGCATAGAGTTGTATTTAGTCTGCAGCATTTTCTCTAAAACTTTGCTAATTAGCATTTTTATAGCTACATTGGTTTTCTTCTATAAGAATTAAGCTTCTGAGGAAACTTAATAAAATAAATATTATCAGCTGATTATCTTCCCTTAACACCCACAGAAAGCCAGAAATTAGTTTTGGGAAACTGCAGAATTAGGAGAGTTTCTAAAATGTGGCACAGAAATATTGGAAATGTGAAAATGTTTAGTTTAAACTAGTATATTAAAACTTTTTTATTTTTCAGATATAGTAGCTTATGTGTTTTCTATGGAAATTATTTATGTTTAGTAGTTTCCCTCCCTTTATAAACAATTGAGTGCCTTTAGGGGGCTGAATTTGTCAAAAGAAATTATTTTTCATAGGACAATGAACAGATGTTGTCAGCAAACAGTCTTCATCACTTAGAATTCTCTCCATTTCTAAAGCAATCATTGCACTTATTTCCAAAAATCTCAATAATGTAGACTGTGGAACCAGTCCCAGCCTGAAGCCCAGCTATATATCCAACAGGTAAGCAAGTCATTGTAGTATCTTTTTAACATAGATGAGATGAACAACAGACTTACCTGAATGAGCTTAATGTCAGGACTGAGCAAGTAAGCTACTGCAAATACAGTTTGATAACTGACCTCAAAATCTAGTGTTGTGCATGGGGAAGAAAGAAACTACCTCTTTCTATCTGAATTTCAGAATATGTATTGTAGTATGCCGTTCAGAAACACTTCTTATCCTTGAATGTTACTGATATTAAACATTTTTCAGACTTTAGTTGCTCTGTGAGAGAAAATAAAAACAGAAATCCGACAACACAAAAACCTTAAAGGACGTAGGAATTCTTTTAATTTTCATCTAAATTTTTGACAGGTTTTTCAATTTGCTCACACTTAGAAAAGTGTTTCTTATGCAGAACTTTACTATCAGCTGTTTCCCCCCACTGCTACATGAATGTGTGACCCTTCAAATATTTAGCATTCATGATTGACAGCCACCCATTTTCTCCAAGTGGTATTGCATGATGAAATACTTCTACTGTCTGTCCTGAGGCTACTACAAATCAAATTAACTAAAAGATTTTCACACTCTCTGTATCCATTACAGTGGTGCCTTGACTTACGAACTTAATCTGTATTGGAACGGTGGCCGTAATTCAAATCGCAAGTCAAAGCACCATTTCCCATAGGGATGCATTGAAAACCGATTAATCTGTTCTGGCGTAAGGAAAAAAATACCATAAAATAAAATAAAATAAAATAAACAGAGCAAGCCCCACGCTGGGACTGCAAAAAGCAAAACAAAACAAAAAATAAACATCGGAGGAAGTCCCACACTGGGACTGGGAAAAACAAACAAACAAACAAAATAACACAGAAACGTAACACCCCAGCCCAAACCTACCCTCCAAAACCCACCCAGAACAACTCTCTTAAAAGGAAAAAGCAGCACCTTACCTCCACCGCTGCTGCAGGGCCTGTCCTCCACCGCCACTACCGGGCCAGGGCTCCCGCTGCCTCTGCAGAGGCTTCCAGGGCTTCCAAAGCACCGGCAGCTCAGCCCAGTGCCTTTGGTGGTGCTTACTCATGAGTAGACCTGCACCAGGGATGGGCAGGGGGTGCACCGGCTTCCCGTGCCCGGCGGCAATCTGGAGCCGCCCCACGTCTCCTTCCTCCTCCTGCTCGGCAGAAGTAAAAAAGTTCCCTGACCCCCCGTACTCTAACTGTTGCTGTGAAAGAGTTACAAAGAAGCAGCCTCTTTGCCACCAACGGTTTGGATTTCCCGCCTTCCCCCCCTTTTTCTGTTCTTCAGTCAATGCTCCAGCTGCAAGTCAAAGCAGAAGTTTGCGGCTGGAGCTGTTCGTAAGTCAAATTGTTCATAGTTCAGAGTGTTCGTAAGTCAAGGCACCACTGTATTTCCATTTGAACGGAAGGAGGAATCTTTTGCAATAGTGGCTTAAAAAAACAACAGAAAAGGAAACATCGTTTTTGATTCCTGGCAGTTTTCATTACTTTAGACATTGCATCTTTTCGGTCTGCGTTGGAGAGATGGAACTGGAAGTCATTGCATTTTGGTGGTTTTCTGCTGTTCTTGAAAAGGAGGGTTCAAAAGGTCACAATATTGAGAGACTATTATTCTGACTCTAATGGGATGCCCCCTGGTTGTTGCTGCATTTATTTGGTTGTTTTTGTGTTTGCTGTTTAACAACCAATTGCAATGTTATCAATGTACAGATGACACTCAGTGCATGCAATATCTTCCTCCCCCCCCCCCATGTCCTGGAAGCAAAGGTGGTTCTGAGTGAGCACTGGAGGCCCATGATAGATTGGATGTGGGTAAGAAATTGAGTGAAGTTTTCTATTGGTTTTCTGTTTATATATATTTTAATTGTATTTTAATTGTTCTAAATTTTATTGTATTTTAAATGTTGTAAGCCGCCCAGAGACCTTTGGGTAGTGTGGGTGGCATATAAATTAAACAAACAAACAAACAAACAAACAAACAAACAAACAAATATATAATGGTTCTACTGGTTTTCTATTAGTTTAGTAGGACCAAGTTAGACATAACAGCAGATCCAACTGTAACCAGTGCTCAGCTTGACGGTAGTTCTGCAGCCTTCAGATCCAACTGGAACTGTAGCACTTAGAAAACAAGTTTAGCATTTTCTCCTCTGCTGTTTTTCCAATGGAAATGAATTTGCATGGCCAGATAAAACATTGAAGTCACCAGTCAAGTCAGTATAGCTTCATCTGTGGGACAAAGAGCAGTTCAAAGTGAGAGATGACTTTTAATTTTTTAAAAAAGGGGGGGATGAAAATATTAGGTCTCTTTCCAAAAGGCTGTAGGTTCTGTTCCAGTCAGATTCTGCTGCTCCCAATGGACAAGTTGTTGCACAACACTTAAAAAACAGGACAAAATCACATTGTAGGTCTCCCACTGTGACACCTCAACTGTATTTGGGTATTCAACACTACACATAAATCCACCCTTGAGGACTGTGAATTTGTGATGTGGTCTCACTACAGATATTGCATGCATGGCATACTCGCTCACCCCCTCCCCCCCAAATATGCAGAATGGAGACATGTATACAATATTTGTACATAAATAGTCCTTTCTTCTGCCGATGCCTGTGTAATATGGAAATGGAAAGCAAAGTATGAGGAGAAGGAAAATAATAAGTAAACTTAGCTATGTTTTGCAACTGTGTGTTTTACTGTTGTTTCAATAAAGATGAAATAGATATTTTAAGAAAGGAAGCAAGTTTTTAAAGAAAAGAGTGAAATGTGATGCAGGGAAGAATGCTTTAGTTTTCATTCTCTGTAATATACCCACATAATGACCTAACTCTGATTAATTGAACAGTGTATGTGTATGAAAGAAAGTATGTACACTATAAATACTGTCAAAGATGTCAGCACCAATTTCATATAAATATATGAATGTATAAAATCTCTCACTTTAAGATAGAATGAAAATAGGCAAGATGTTGTTCTCTTTGCATTTAACTCTTTACACATCAGAGAAAACACATGACACTTGTTTGCTGAACATGCACATTGCAACATGCAAACGTATTCATAGCTGTATGTGTTACCAGGATGGTCTGACTTGAGAAAAGCTTATATTAAATATGCATCTCAAGAGAATTAACCACAGAGCTATGCAGCGATGTGTCTCTGAGTTAGTTACAGATTACAATTTCTTGGAGTGACACTTAATTCTCACTAAGTGCAAACAGGGTAAACAAAATTAAGCAGAACAAGCCTTGTGTTTTGTGGATTGTGGGTTATTTTTTGATCTCAGTGAGAAGTTCAGTAGAAAATTCCTCATGTCCAAAGGAACATGTGCGAGTGCAGGATCAAGTGTTTTCTACTCAGATACCCACAATCAGAAAACACAAACTAGAGTAAAAAAGAATAACAGTAAACCAAAATGTGATAAAACAAAATAAATTTATAATTCCGATATTGGGGGCCCCAGATAATTCATGGTGAAAAATTCTTTTCTCCTGAATACTGACTGGAGCATGCCACTTCTGTTTCCATTTATCATGGTTTGCTGAGCGTTTAATAGTCTACTTAGCAAATCAGGGTTAATTTATCAAAGCTCAATTATACGTATCAAAGTGGAAGCAAAAGTTAAATGGCACACACAGTTCCAAATTGAGAACTATTTCAGCTATATTTTGGTGATAATATGAAATTCTGTGTGATGGAAGAGAACTGGAGCTGCTGCTATTTTATTTTTCCTAGGAACCCCTGCTCTTAGGTGTTCTTTGAAAAATACCCATTTTTATACAGCAGCTCCTTTTATTTGATGGATACAGTGTCAGATGCTGTGGCATCCACCCAGGTCACAAATATTCATATCCTATCTGCATGGTCCAATGAGAGTGCTGGAGAGGCAGGATCTAAGATTCTCTGCAGGAAGAGGGGAAGAGAAGATTGGAGTTTTGAGGAATTGAGAAGGGAAGTTTCGGAACTGGGAGTTTGGAGTGGAGAGAGAGAGGGTTGGCAGTTGAGGGTGGATGAAGTGGGATGTTTGGTTAAGAGTTAAAAGACATTGATAGTACCTTCATCACCTGCATCAATAAACAACTTCTATTTGGTTCTATTTAAAATGACACATGGCCTGGACCTCTATTATTAATAATATTTAATGTTGATGTAATCAACTGGTGGCAGCTGAAAGATACGTAGCGTGAGCTCTTAGTATGGTTAAACAATCAAGGGACAGGCGGGAATGTGACAGATGCCTCTTTCAAGAAGTAACATCTCAAGATCAAGTGCAGACTACAAGCCTTGTCTTCTCCCACTCTTGTTGTTGTAACATGCTCTCAAGTCGCCTCCGATGTATGGTGACCCTTTGAATGAATAATCTCCAAAAGGTCCTGTCTTCAACAGTTCTGCTCAGCACTTGTAAACTCAAGCCTGTGGCTTCCTTTATGGAATCAATACTTTTCATATTTAGTTTTCTTCTTTTCCTGCTGCCTTCAACCTTTCCCACCATTATTGTCTTTTCTTGAGAATCTTGCCTTCTCATGATGTGCCTACTGACTGAGACGAAGAAATAATAAATTAAATTCTCTTTTAAAAATATCCAATTTATGAATGTGGAATATTGTGATTTTGTATCTGCAATTTAAAACACCAGGAAATGGCCCAATATTGCTGTATAATATCATATATCGGAGAAGGAAAACTCCGATTTCAAACCTCCACTGCCTTGTGGCTATATCCACTCATGGAAAAGGCTTCAGGAGTTAACCTCGAGGCAAAATCCGGAGCTGGAGTCCCGAAGGCAGCTCGTGTCGTTCTGCCAACTCCTGCGACGTTGCTGGAACCAGTCGTATTGGCTCTTGCCTTTCCATTGGACCATTTCAGCAACGTGGAGAGGGGGGATTTGCTGCTTGGGTAACAGCCTATCCTCCATATTACCTTACCCGGGCTTCATGCTCTGGAGAGGACACTCCTCGATTCAGAGCATGTTACCATAGTCTCTCGAGACTGAAGG